AGTATTTAAGACATACTGCTGCTGCACAAATAGCATATAAAATAACCCCGTAGCAGATCTATACAGGTGGAGCTGGGGAAGGTGGCGGGTTTCAGAGAACTCTGAAAGCATGCTGCAGGAATCTCAAGTGAATGCTAGCCAGCCATATAAATGCAAGGCAGTAAACTCATTGGCTGCATATGCAGCATGAACCAATCAGCTTGTGCCAAGTCGTTTAACTCTCTGAATATCATCAGTTACATTAACACCCCATCAGAATGCGCCATCTAGAATTTCATGACTGAACTATATATTTAATTTCATTATTATTAACTAAATACATTTACTATAATTTTATTGACCTGCACGTCAGAATTACACTTAATTTACCAGAAGGTTCTATTGAGTCAAGCATCAATATGTAACCAATAAATCCAACATCAGTATTTATTATTATTGTTATTATTATTATATTTAATTAGATTAAAACAATGCGGTGTCTGGCAAAATTAAAATCTGTTTGAATTGTTTTGACAGTATATTGATAGAACTGTATTTAATCACTGTGTCTAAATTAGTTTAAATTAAATATGCATTTATTTATGTTTGTTCTGAAAAACTTGGACTAACAAAATTATACATTTATTTGATTTCTCTTGAATTGCAGTTCTCAAAATTTCTCTTCCTGTTTTTCCAATTCATCGTCTTATGGGACGTGAACATCTTAAATGTTGAATTTTGCCCAATGCTGGTTTATAGCACAATTATAAAGGGGAGTTCATTAGGGTGATAATTATTTTATATTGAATACCACACAAAGGAATGAGCTCCACAAATGCATGCAATAATTAAACATGACATTATTTGTCAACATATAATAGGCGTTTTGGATACAGACCAGGTTTTTACAGTCTATTTATCACAAGTGTATAACTGAACTCGTCTCACCATACAACACTCTGTATGTCTGCCCAGATGTCACCATTAGGAGGAACGGCTCATGCCACTGCTAAGAGGCAGATGACCATCTGGTGTGTCATTTATTACGGGTTATGCCAGGACTGTAATGCATTGCCCCCTAGAAATATAATTATACACAAACTCTGAAACAAATAAAATAAGTGCAGTTTAAGCCATTTAAGTAACAGTCTGAATAAACAAAAGCGAAATAGTTCAGGGCTAGTTGAGCTGCTCCAACCGAGTGCATCAGTTTACCCATCCACTATATCATAGTTCATATAAGTGAACCCATGATAAATGTTTGTTATCAACTTAATTAAAAGAGGATTCCAATTAGTATGAGAGTGAAGTGTTGTAGAGTTTATGTGTTATAGGGAGTTTGACGGACTGAGGGCACATGCACTCACCATCTGGCCTAAACGATAAGCTCTTGGACATTGCCTTGATATGTAACATTTGTAGCATTAGTGGTTTTCTCTTGTTTGTGGTTTTCTCTTGTTTATATTACAGAGATTTTATATTTGAAGCATCATAGCATGGCATAATCTGTCTGACTCACTACATACATTTCAAATACCATTTCACAGTAGTTCTTGTTTGTAAACGTGTTGAAACTTTTTTTGATCAATAATTCTGTCAAATTTAAGATATTCACCGATTCCAAATAAATCCTGAATTTTTTCCCTCCCATTTTTTATATTTTTTCATATAATAAATATTAATATATTTAAAATGTATTCATTCTTAATTTTAAAAAATGTTACCCATTTTATTCATCGCAAGCAGCTTAAAAAAACATTTTTCTTTTTTATTTAACAAATATACAGCTATTATTTATGAAGCAGGGGTTTGTGGCTTTAAGAATTGAAATGAAAATGCTTTTAAATTTAAAGTAATTAAAATTAGCATTGGAATTAACATTGTTTATGATAGTCTGGATTAAATTAGTTTAAACAAATGGGTTTATACAAGAGTCTTTTAAGCATGTGAAATCCTGATTTTTTGTATTTTCTTTTTACTCATTCATGAAAACACATTTATATTTATTAATATTTATTCATCATTAACTGTAAATTTGACCCAACTCCATTATATTAATTGAAGGCTATACCAAAACCTTGCTGTCCAGTTATAATGGTGCTGAAAGCACTGTTTGACAAGGTTGGGGTTTGATCCCTTTGATGCCTTTTTTTAATCACCTGTTAGTTAAGAGCATTTTTAGAGCATTATTTGCATGCTGTGTTCTTTGAGATAAACATTGCATAATGCTAAAACCTCATTCTTTAATCGTCCAAGCTCTTTGAAACATTGCATTGTCTTTTTTTTTAATAGTGACATAACCCCTTATCTACTTCAGGAACACCATTAAGTCAGTCCGAAGAAAGGCAAAATGGCCACAGACCCATTTTAAGTGACAGCTGCTCTTCTGTGACAAAGGTAATTTCAAATGCAAGCAGGTCCATTCATTTGATTTCCTCCACATCTCCCAGAGTGCTGAATGTAATTATCTTCCCTCCATCTAGCGTCCCTAGGGGGCCCTTCCCCCTCCAGGCTTAGCTGTGACCGGCCCATCACCCATCCCTCTGCCTGAACATGTGACATTATCCTGTCCCGCCTGCCTGTCCTCACCCATCAGCACCTAGCCAGCTGTATGACTTTTATAATCTCCATACAATGTCTGATCCAGGATCAGTCACCATTGACTCCCATTTCAGCCTTATAATAGAAAGTAAAAAGACAAAACCAATTTGGACTTGTACAACAACAACAATAATAATGATAATAATAATTTAATAGTTGAAAAATGTAATAATAATAATAATATAATCATCATCATCATCATTATAATTCAATAGTTAAAAAAATGAATATTTATAAAATAAAAAAATATTTATTATTATTATTATTATTATAAATAAATATTTAATAATAATGATGATAACAATAATAATAGTAATACATGTTTATTATTATTATTATTATAGTTGTTATTGTTGTTTATTTATTTATGGGTATTTATATCTCCCAAATCGTGATATTTTAATGTTTAGCATGTTTTAATGTTGAGATGTTTTAAATTGTGTCTCAGAGCATTAAAATGAGATTATGAGAGTAAAATAGTTAAAATAGTCACTGTAACTGTCTCAGTAGAAATGAATAAATCAGGACGGAAGTAGACTAAATGTTGTATGGGAAAGGTAAGATATCAGGAAATTTGCAGTAGCTTAAATGAAAAGTAATGTTATCCAGAGGTGCAGGCCTCGAAAAGACTTCATTTACATTCATATTTTAAGGAGAATTAATCAGAATCCGTAAAAAACAGCCTTGTTACGGAGGTTTTCATTATGAAATCATAGCCACAGGACAGAATCAGTTCACTCAGAATAGAAAGAGACTGCATCATCACAGATGGTGCTTGAGGGCTTTGATTGCACTCAGTCAAGTACCTGCCTGTAAGTGTGTGTGCAAGCTTTTGTTTGACCATATGTGCAGATGTGTCCTCAATGGTGTGTGCATTTCAATTTAACGTGTTTGTATTCATGCGTTTTAGACCGACTGAGTGCTTTGCAGGCAACTACTAGTGGATGGTCACGGATAGCCTAAAGGCTTGGCTTCTGTTTCTGAATGTGTGTGTGTGTGTGTGTTTTCTCTCCAGATGGTAAATATGATCTGTTTCACGGCTTTGGCTGTAGCTAGTTTAACTTGTGCAATTTTGCTTGTGACTGCATTTGTTTATTTTATGGTAGTATGCATCACAACAAACACCTACTTTGCACTCATCTAATTTGAATACAAAGCCCCGCCTTGTGTAGGAGGCCCAGGCTTCATGACCCATAAGCAATAACCCTTAGGCTCAATGCCCTTCCTCCACAAAAATGAATAGAACCATACGGGTTTTACATCAAAAATGAAAATGCAGTTGGTCTATTAAACATTAATGTTACTGCAAAATTTATATAATAAAATAATTTACTTTGATTAAGCTTTAAGTAATGAAAATATTAATGGCAATGACAATATGAAATAAAAATGTGCAAATGTTACCTTAAGGGGCTATTTCAATCCACTCTGATCCATATAAGTAACCTAATGTAGTCAGGTTGATTACATAATTTAATTGAGATAAAACCAGTTAATTACCACATGAAACATATTTTTAGCTTACCTGACAGTTTGAACCTTAATGTTTTACAGTGCAGTTTAGTGATAGCAAATGTTGCTTAAAATAATAATAATAATATTATTATTATTATTATTAATTATATATAATTATTTTTATATTAATACTAAAAATGATGATAGATTATTAATAATTTCTTATATATAAGTCGTTATAATTAATAGTAATAAATAATAAGAATAAGAAATATTATTATTATTATGCCTACATTATTCTGAAATGTATCATAA